AGGCCCGGGGGCTGCCCGGGTGGAAGGGCTCCCGTGGGCCATGGCCCCAGCTGTTTCACTGAGAGAGTGGGGAATTGCCCTCCCACACTCTGTCGGCAAAGCCCCTGCTGCCCCACACTCTGTCGGCAAAGCCCCTGCTGCCAGGCAGAAAAGCGCTTTTATTGGCGTGGTTACCAGCAATCAAGAGAGCAGCAAAATTACTTCCTTTGGTGGGTGCCACGCACACCTCAACCTCTCCATGCTGGCACTGGAAGAAGTGACGTCCACTCGCCCAGCATAGATGAGCCCATACCACCACCAGTACGGTCACAGGGCTTTAGGTGAAAGAGTTGCTCAAGTTGAGCTTGCAATCAGGCGTGCAACTCGGGTGTTGGGGGAAGTAGCATTTGGATTTCTGGCGTGGTGGTACCACTGAAGGGGCTGCAAAGGGAAGGAGCATCCTGAGCCAAGTGCAAGCAGCCAGAAAGGAGTAGCTCGTCTTGGCAGCAGTAGTGGCTGGTGGCGGTTATAAGTGTTTGTGAAACTATTACCTAATTATATCTCTGCAAAGCTATAAATACAAGAAACGTTTTATTTTTAAATTAGAGAGTTGGCAATTAGTCCCATGCATAGTGTCCCAGGCTTTATTGCTCTGTTTAAAGTTATTATTCCTTATATTGTGTCTTATTGTAGGCTTTTACAGAATTGTTATCTTCACACTCATTTCTCTGTGTCTTTACTAATTCCTTTATAATAACCAACAATTGAGATTTTACTGCATAATAACTCAAATGAGTGTAAACTAACCATGGAGCATTTACTAATTTTCTGTTTTGCTTTAATTCTTGGAAAGCTCTGCCACTCCTTGGTGTGTTTTTGGTGCTGCTGGAGGCATGTCTGAACTGCATAGCAGAGTGTGGTGCAGGGGGGGTGGCTCTCCTGCCCAGCGTGACCTGTCCCAGTGCAGAGATACTTTCTGTCTCCAGGAGTTACGACTGAACGGCCGTGCAGAGCTGATTTACCCAAGAGCTGGGCTAAACAAACACAGTTGCTCCAGAGCTCTTGTGGCAATCAATTTTTCCCCTGGGGGGGGGAACACACACAGTAACCTGTCGTAAAAAGTATACATGCCTGTATGTGTCTCCCTTTTTATGCTAGTTTGGTTTTTGTTTTTTTTTTTTTAAGCACCTAGCAGAACCAGGTGCTGGTAATGATTTTTGCTCCTGGGAGCATTGGTAATACTCGAGTTCCCTGAGTTGATGTCTCAAACCGGTGATTTGCTTCGTAGCCGCTTTCTGTATGCATTAAGTATGCCCTCTTCGCATGAAAGAATATATTTCTATGTATTTAAACATCAGTTTTGTTGGTAGAAAAATAGGTTGTTTCTCTTGCCTGTGGTCTTACTGAGTTCGCTGTGACTGCTCCTATGTCTAAAGTGGGCAGAAAAGAAATGTCTCCACATAGCACATAACCTCTTTTCCATTTCACCCTGTTTCTAGATGCTCCTGTGAGCTCGGTGGCTCTCCGTAAATCTGGGGATTATGTCATCACCCTGGGAACCAGGTTTGCTGCTTTGAAATGGAAAGAGCAGCTGGTAACCACGATTACTCATGTGGACAAGGATAAGCCAAACAACCGATTCAATGATGGAAAAGTGGATCCTGCAGGGCGGTATTTTGCAGGTATGCTGCAGGCGGTTCCTTCCTTCTGCTGCTGCGTTAGGTTTTGGTGACAACGTGCAGCGAACGATTGTAGATGCAGCAAGTGTTAGTTCGTAGTTAAATGGTGGGGACTTTATTGTTGTATTCAAGCCGAGTTTAATCCCATTTACAAGTCTATTTGTATCACCTGGAGACCATCTTATCAGGATTATTCTTTTAAAAAGAGGCCCACTGTTCAGAGCCAGCCTTTTTAAAAACACTGGCCTTGTGTCCTCCCTGTTGGCGTGCTTGTTTTGAATGCTGGCAGAGTGCCAACAGAAAATACTTTTCCAGCTAGAAATCTATGATATTGTGGGGTTTTTTCTTCATAAATCAGAATTTATAGATGGTGTTTCCAAAACCTATGTGACTGTTCAACCTGGAGAAGGCTCAGGGGGATCTTGTCCATGTATATAAGTACCTGATGGGGGATGGAGCAAAGAAGACAGAGCCCAGGTCTGCTCAGTGGTGCCCACTGCCAGGACCAGAGGCAGTGGGCACAAACTGAAATTCAGGAAATTCTGTTTAAACATAAGAAAACTCTTTTACTAAGGATGATCAAACAGTGGAACAGGTTGCCTAGAAAGGCTGTGGAGTCTCCATCTGTGATCTTCAAGACACAATGCTGGCCTGGGCCACCTGTGGTGGCTGACCTTGCTTTGAGCGAGGGTGGGCCCGGCTGATCTTCAGAAGTGCCCTCCAGCCTCAGCTATCTCATGATCCTGTCCTCCTGGTTTTTAAAATGCTATTCTGTGCATCTGCCCTGTAGTTGGGTCCCCAGACTTACCTTAACTTGCTTTTTTTACCCAGCCTCTCAAGAACTAGTATCAGCTGCCAACTTCAAGTCACAATTATGAGATTTGGGGTTGAAAAGGCTTTAGTAAGATTCGTTCTGAGGGAGGAGGAATTTTTTTTTCCAGTCTGTCTGCTATACATGACATTAGGATTTATTGGAAGTTAAATGCCGATCAGGCCTTCCTTAATATTTGAGTGACTGAATAAAATGTTTAGCAGAAATCACACTGCGCGCCATTTCTGTCACAGTTCAACAAAAAAAAAAACAAACCCAAAGGCTGTGTTTTGTCATCTTCTGCTAGAAACAAGCACTTTTGAAATCTACCTTTCTCTTTTAACTCGGTTTCTTCCCTGAATTTCTGAAGGCCCCACACTGCTCCCATCTGCTTTGGCAGTGTGGTCATATTCATTGTGAGGGGCTGCCACCAAACCTGGGGGGAGAGCCCATTTACTCTGAACCTGCTTTTTCCTCTTTGGCTCTGCACAGGTACGATGGCTGAGGAGATTCGACCTGCCGTGCTGGAAAGACGCCAGGGCTCTCTGTATACACTCTTCTCTGACCTCTCAGTGGTGAAGCACTTTGATCAGGTGGACATTTCTAACGGGCTGGACTGGTCGTTGGATCACAAAACCTTCTTTTACATTGACAGTTTGTCCTACTCAGTGGATGCCTTTGATTATGAACTCCAAACTGGAAAAATTGGTATGAATTGTGGTACTCTAAAGTAATTGTTTGTGACTAAAGATTGTGATGTTTGTTTCCGTTCTGGTTATTATGCAGAGATGGTCAGAGCTTTGGGAGCGCTTCTTCAGAAACCTCCTTGGAACAAAACAACAGAAGCCATATTAACATCCTTCTGTGCCTGTCTAGGCTCCTAGCTCAAACTAGTCAGAGGCTGTCGGTAATGTTATAAAGTATTTAAATTGCATGGCAGAGTTTGAGTAGTAATTTGGACTAGTGTTACTAAACACAATGCATATCTGATCTTCCTGTGTAAAAGGGGCTAAGTGTTTCTTGTATGGCTAGATTTCTGTGGCTGCGTGTTTCTTATTACTGACAGCATAGGCAAAGTAACAAAACCGCTGCTAGCTTCTCTAGGTTTTTTTTCATCCTGTTTTGTTTTCTAAAGTATAAGCTCTTAGATGAAGATTTTGCAGACAGAGCTAAGCAACAATTGGAAAGCAGTAACTCAAAACTCTTCTTCCTTCATTTATTTAAAACAAAACAAAACAAAACAACCGCTTAAGGGCTTCTACAAGCTTGGGCAAAAGAAAAATTCCGGTGACTTGGACTAATAATTTGCTTTTGAGTACATGGACTGCAGTGTTTTGCTTTAAAAGAACCCAGTCAATTTGATATTTAGTTTTAAAACTGTAAATTTAAAGTCTTTTTAGGTGTAGCATCTTGTCCCAATGCCTCTCTGCTATGGCTTACAATTGAATTTTTCTTTAGGAAATAGGGTGGTTCTCTCTCTCTCACCCACACTCACTCCCTCTCTTTCTGTGGGCAGTCTGACAATCCCCAGGAGCACAAAGGAAACTCATTAAAAATATTGCTACATATGAGAAACATTGAAGTTGTCAGAGCATAAAATAAACAATGTTGGAAAGTTGGTTTTAGTTTTCTGTAATAACAGTGGATAAACGTTCAGATAGAGTTGTTTGTTTTTAGGTTGACAGTATCCCTTTGAAGTTGATGCTTTTCCTAACTCTATGTTTATATAAACTCTCAGTTTTTATATCTGAAGGTCAGTTTTGTGTTGGAACAGTGATTATTGGCATGTTCCAGCAATCTGTTTGAAAAGTCTCCAGTTCTCTGACTGGAAGTGACCCATACTTGAAATGAGCCAAAATGCTTTTAGAACAATTAATTTTCTGAATATATCTGTAACATTAATTTATTCAATTATTACTTTAATATTGTAAGTAAGGGAGCATGAGTGGTGCACTAGAAAAGAACACCAGAGAAAAGGATTATACTTTTAATGGATAGAAACTGATCCTACAGGCTTTCACACTGAGAAATAACTGTCTCAGGAAACAAACAGGGCAGCAGGCACGATCTATTTCTTTCATACCAAAGAACTCAGGGCTTCAGCCCAGCTTTTGAAAATAATAGGATGAATAATAACTCTGCTGGGCTGTGACTGATAAAAATTTTAACAACTGTCTCACTTAGTTTTGCTGTGTATTTTCTGCCCTGCAGGCAACCGTAGGAGTATATACAAACTGGAAAAAGAGGAAAGCATTCCTGATGGGATGTGCATTGATACAGAAGGCAAACTCTGGGTAGCTTGTTATGACGGTGGGAGAGTGATTCGTCTTGACCCTGAGACGGGTAAGTTCTTGCAAAGGGTGGAGTGGACTTTTCTGTGTTCAAAAAAAAAAAAAAGAAGAAACAAAAGCCAAGAATGAGAGGGGTTTTTTTAGCCCCTCACAGAAATGGTATATCTGCTCCTTTTTAAAACATCCTTTTTTTTTTTTTTTTAAAGCAATTACATGTCCCTGCACTCACAAGTTAGCTTTGTAAATAAGTCTCCTTTGTTCCCAGCTTTTGTTGTGTTGGAAAAGGTAAAGTTGTGAGGATATTACCATCATACTTGCGAATTGTTTGAGTTAGCATCCTCTTGCATCCTCCAAACTTAAGATCAGTGTTTACCTTATTAATAAATGATGTGGAAGAAAATGAATAAACCATGAGATGACTTAAGCTATTTTTTTTGTCTTGTTTCTTCAGCACAGTGTTTTGGGCAGCCCACTGAGGTTAATACAAGTCCCACATGACACTGATGCCAGCAACATTTTTTTTGTTGTTGAAAATTATTTACACGATAAATTTTGCAATTGAAATAATAAAAAATATTTAATGAATTCCACAGCATTTTATCGTTCCCATATAACATCTTGGGTGTGCCCATTGTCTGAGCCTGTCATTCATTGCTGCTCTCATTTGGACTTTGGTGGTCTGCCAGGCATGATTTAGTCTGAGTAAAAGTCACGTGTAAAGCATTTCAGAGAGACTGAACCAAACGCTCTGCAAGGGCCCAGTGGGTGAGAATGGGGGCATGATTTTGACAGATCCCAGACTGCACAGGTTTGCATAATGCAGCATAGGAGCAGCTGCACTGGTTTGCATCTGGGGTCTCTTGAACCCAGGTCCAGCCCTAACAGAAATCTAGGGGTTTTGTGGGGCTGCAGATGCAGGGATGCAGGCGTCCCTTGACACATGCCGCCTCCACAGCGCGCAGCAGACCCTGGTGCACACGTGCACCATGTGGGTCAGGTTGCAGCCTCTCTTCTGACTCTGTTGGAACCTCTTACTTGAAGCTCAAGCTGTGCTTTTCACCTCACCTTTCGATATGTACCCATCCAAGATCTTGCCAACCTGTTGAGCTTCCTCCTGTCCTGCAGAGTCTCTACGCCAACCCTAGGAGGAGGAAGCTCCAGCTGGGAGATCCCAGCAGCTCTGGGACCTGTTTTGGTCGCACATCCTCCCCTTTTGGTGGACAGCGCACTCCTTCGTGACCTCCGCCAGCCCTTTGAATACCCTTCTGGAGCAGTAGCCTCTACCATTTTTCCTCTCTGGTTCTCTGTTGCTACCTTTTTTCTCCCTGGCCTTCACCTTCTTCCTTAGAGGAAAGCTAATGGGAATATTGTCCATAAGCAGATGCATAGGGAGACTGTGAGAAAAGGGAAAGCAGAGTACGTATCCCTAATGCATTTCCAGCCTCCAACTACGCTGAGCTCAGGGTATTTCAGAACTGGATGCAATTTTGGTGTATTGGTAGCTGCCAGTGGATTTCTCCCCTCGCCCATGTAAAACTCCCAGCACCCACAGCGAACCGTAGCAAGAAGTTTCACAGGTGAAGTGTCCATGTCAAAAAGAGCCACCTTCTTTGTGAATATTTCATGCTTATATGCCCTCTCTGCGCGATTGTTTTAAAGTAATATCTGAGATCTGCAATTTTTTGAATTCTGAGTGAATTGTAACTCTTTAGGGAGAGGACCCGGACAGGTTTGAAGATAACTCTATGAAAGCCTCTCTTTTGATGCACAGTAGCTATTAAGTGTGGCATGAATGACTGTCAGCCAGTTGCAGATACATCCAGTGATAAAGAGCTTATCTAAAGCACGTGAGGGGGATTTTCAGGTTTCACTGATAGCAAAGCTTGGACTGCATTTTTAGGGAGATGGGCGAGGAAACTTGTTTATTTGGCATCTCTTTTAAATGAAGGTTTTGAGGTTCAGAATGAAACAGCTTTTCAGGACTAGGCTTCTTTAGCCAAGGCAGCTGCTGCCTTTAGATTCGGGATATGCTACAGGGAAAGGTTTGTGATGACTAATCCCACTGGGTGTGCATAGGGCTTGAAAAGGATGTCTAACTTATGCATTGCCAAATCTTGTCATACCTTCCGGTCACTTAGGGACCTGCTAGTTTTATGCAATCGTGCCATTTAATTAGGATCTAAATATTTTACAGTTCTTCTTAATGAATGTATTTTATATCCTTTGATTGTACAGGATCTAAAAGATCTGCTAAGTTTCTGTCTTCTACAGATACCAAACATAGGTGAACACTTCAGGTGGATTTCAAAGCATCCAGGTGCAGATTTACTTGCATCTCCAGGAAGACGTTGCTCATCTTAGAGCTTTGTAAACAGTATCTTCCAGGCCGTTATCTGCTGACACCACTCTGCAAGTACTGTCAGGGTCTCCTCTTGTCTCTGGAGCTTATGCCCTCCTACGGTGCATGTTTTTTCCCTTTGAATGCCCTTCCCACTCATTTTCTCCCTGACTTGGTGTCAGCCAATTTCGAGGGTGGCCTCTGGAGCATTTTATAAGCCACCGTGTAGCCATGTAATCCTTCCACTGCCAGCTGACTGGATAACCACAAAGTGCTACAAGAGCCAGTTGGCAGGAACGTTGTCTTGAGACTCATTGGTCCTTGTCGCTCCCAGGCAACAGACAGGACTTCTCTCTCAATTTTCTAGATATTTTGAAAAATCTGCTCTTCTCAGGGAAGTAACAGGCAACCAGATATGCAAATAATCTCTGACAATCTAAATGCCATTGCATTGATTCTTTTTTTTTTTCTTTCTCATTTTGATTTTTACTTTGGCCATTGTGGGTCAAAGTGTGTGCCAAATAAGCTTATTATACAGCATCAGGAATCCCAGAGTGCTGAAACTTCCCTGGCTGTTACATACAAGAGGCTCTTTCATCACTGCTCACTTGCTGTTTTTTTATTTATTTTGGGATTAAAAGACAGTTTAAAAGTATCCAGCCCTCATGTGAGGGTTTTTGGTGAAACAAAGGCAATTCCCTCTCAGTCCTTTATTTTGGATGTACTGATCACATCCATACTAGCAAGTAAAACGGATCACAAAACATCCTTTAGTCTTGCACCATATTGGCATATCGTAGCTTATTTTGCACAGCCAGGCTGTCTTCCCACACCAGAACAAAGCCCAAAGTGTCTCTGGGGAGCAGCATACCCAACTAGGCGGGCGAAAATCATGCCAGGACTGCAACAGCTTAATAGTGTGGCTCTGCTTTTGCCTGTGCCTATGCCCTGGTTAGTATTGTGGTACAGGTGAAGCCGTTTGGTCTGTGCTTTTGTCAGTTCATTGCAGTGCTTGAAGGGACCAAGGTGGAGTTTGTTGGGAGAGGGAAAATATCTTAGAGCGTGTCCTGTGCAGCCTGCTGTAGGTGACCCTGCTTTGGCAGGGGGGTTGGACTAGATGATCTCCAGAGGTCCCTTCCAACCCTGACCATTCTGTGATTCTGTGAAGAGGGAAGATGGGTGCTTGCTTTGATAAGCACCTCCCAGGAAGTGGTGCCCCACTCTAAAATTGAATAAAAACTTCTCATAGATGTTAAAAAGTGGAGAGTTTCGTCTGCTTCTTTTCCTTGTAGGGTTCCCAACATCGTAGTTACTCTCCTGATTTCGCCACATCGCTAAACACTTAGTTACTATAAGGGGACCAAGCCCTTCACACATGCAACTGAGCGGTGCGGGGAATCACATATTTTGTAAGGAGATTCATGTGCTTTAGCGTATTTCCAGAAAGAGAGATTTGGTTGTTGCTAGATAAAATAGGCAGGGTGGGTAATAAGCACTTACTGCCCAGAATTAGGAGGAATTTTATAAAAACCTGCTGTAAGGTGTCTCAACAGTCTTCTGGTTAAGGCTGTAGGCAATCTGTTCACTACTGTCATTCAGATGCTAGCTATTTGTTGGTATAATAAATGCATAATATTATTTATGGTAGCTCTAAGTTTCTTGTAAACTTCAGACGTGTCCCATGATCCCTATTTTATGCCAGCTTGATTTGAAAGGCTATTGAAATTTCAGGAAAAACTTCCAGGAATTAATCTTCCTTAACTGCAGGCAGTAGAGGTGTAGCACGAGGTACGCCTCAGTAGAGGTGCACGAGGTCTGCTCGCTCCAGGCTTCCTTTGTAGTTAAAAGTAGGGAAGTCAGCAGGTCTAGGGCGTGTTCATGTGACCTATTTTAGGGAGGAATTACATCCCATTTCCATTGAGTGCATGGGCAGCCTAGATGATGAGCTCAGATACAGATGTCTGTGCTGTGGATGTTAGCATTTAATTAGACAACAGGCTGGGATTGAGGGTGGGATTTGTTTGTGATAACTGAGACTGAAACTTGTCAAGTGATACGTCGCAACAATGCGGCTTACAGAAGTCTGGTTTCTCCCCGTCACAGCGCTCATCGGTATGCGGTAACTCGGTGTGAGACCTCCCCCTGCCCTGGTACCCGCTTTTGTCAAACGCCTGGCTCCGTGCTGGTTATTTGCCATAATTTGTTTAAAATTCTTGTTGTAAGTAGACGACCAGGAAACAGTGTGCATGTTTTTCTCCAGGAAGAAGACTCCAGACTGTGAAACTTCCTGTTGACAAGACAACTTCCTGCTGTTTTGGAGGAAAGGATTATTCAGAAATGTATGTGACTTCTGCCAGTGATGGGATGGATAAAGATTGGCTTTCACGGCAGCCGCAGGCTGGTGGGGTCTTCAAGGTGAATAATTCTTTTTCCTTTCATTTTAGAGGGCCATTTTTTTCCCATCTGCATTTAGGTAGCAGAACAGTTGGAGTGGTGGGAAGCACGAAAAGAGTGGTTGTTAAAATATCTGTCATATATGCTAAGGTATTGTTCGTATTTTTGGCTCTTGTTGCAGGACGAGAAAGTTAAATGCCTTTAGAGGTTTGAAAATACTTTTGGGTTTAAAAATTGTAACAATGCTGATACTGCAAATTTTCTATGCCGTCAGCTCTTTCTACTGCTCCCCTTCCCAACACAGTTCAAGTTTTCTATTTATTGTGGAAAGAATGTGTAAATACTTCTGTGTCTTAATCAATGGCAGACAGAAGCATCTGCTTTTATTTGCTTTCTAGTTAGTTATAACTAAATTATCTCTTAAATTTCATCACCTTGGGATTGTTTTAAAGCCCCGCTCTTCAATATAGCTGCATACCAAAGGTTACGCTGTGAACTGTGGAATTAAGGCTCAGTAGTATGTGAGAAGAGGCTTTTTGGGAATGGACTCTGGCCTGCCATTGCTGAGCTTTAGAGAAAGAGCACAGATTGAAGTTCCTAGCTGTGATGAGCTGCTGTATACAAAATATAGTAGGATATCAAGTTGGAGGACATAGTCCTTTTCTCCATTAAAGTACGTCTGCTTATGACAGAAAAGAAAATGTCTGATAGTGATGAATTATTGCACTTATCTTTTGTCTTTTTTTTCCCTTCTTCTCTTTTTTAATAGATAACTGGGTTAGGGGTGAAAGGAGTCCCACCTTATCCATTTGCAGGTTAAATACACGCTCTTCAGAATGGATTAGAGAGGACTGACGTAAGCAAGACAAATTGGAAGATCTTTTTCTGGTGCTCAGCATCTTTTGCTTTGAAACCATAACACAATTATAATATCTCATCAGGAAAGGGTGAAAAACTACTGAAATACATGGAATATTTTAAAAGTGTTCCTTTTTTTTTCCTTGAAAACTCTTTTTTTCCTTTTAAACTCTATTACTTTAAATATCTGATGGTGCTTTTTCTGTTGTGCTAAAAAGATTCTCACCTTAATAAACTACTGAATATTTTAACTTTCTTTTATGATTAAATAATGTTTTAATATCCTTTCTTTTTATTGTTTATTCTCCCGTCTCACTTGCAACTTATGCTATATTGATTTATTGATTAAATTACTTGTAGTGTCTCTTCTCCGTGTTTTTAAAGGTTCTCAAAATATCTATTTGTGGTCCTACCGCTGCTTTAACTGGAACTTCATTTGTCCCATGATGTTCTCGACAACTGAAACATTAATACCTATTACTGTGGGTCTGCAGCTTCCTTTTTACATTACATTTTTAAGGCCTCAGCTGTGGTTGCGCTTAAATGAACTCTGATCGGCTGGAGCTGATCATCATCTCTCCCCACCGCATGTCATTATGTTGCTCATTTTGTTAAATATAAACCCAAATTTTTGGGATCAAGAACTGTATCTTTGTCCATCCTCTGAAGATCTCAGCCTGTTCTGGGGAGATCCACAGTGACAGGAAAGCCTCAGGTGTTCTTGGCCGTTAGTCTTTAAAACACCACCTGCACGTACTTCCTGCAGAACCAAACTCCCCCAGAGCAGCCAGAGGGGCCTGCATGCCCAAATGGCCACTGCGTCTACAAATGTGTAGGAAAGGAAAGTTTTATTGGTTTTTTTTTTTTTTTTTTGCAGTGCCTGTTTGAGTGCGAGGTGGTGAAGGATGCTGGGGCTTGCTTTGAGTGTCCACCGTCCTTCAATTGCTTTGTTGAGGTAGATCGTGAATGTGCCAAATTTAGGGCTCTGATCTTAGTGAAGTCATGAACTGGGTGATAACTGCAGCTCAGGAACCGTGCTGTAGGGCTGCTGTGGTTGATTGCTAATGGGCCTTCAGAGATGCAGCAGAAAATAAGTAGGCATAAACACAAATAAGCTCCCTCTGCCATCGCTATCACCGTGCAGAGGTTCCTGTGCCATCAGGTTTTGTACTTTTGCTCACCCTCACCCCACCGCGATGGCAGCAGGGTGATTGCCAGCACGACATGGGGCACCGGCTGATCCTTTTTTGTCGTTGCTGTGCTAGAAAGATATGGTCAAAGGTTATTTTGTCACCACTGGCCAAGAGGCACACAGGAGACATGGGGAAGATGTGGCCGACGGTGCCCCTCATCCTCTATGCCATGCATGGGCGGCCTGGGGCAGACATCTGGAGCACACAGGTCTTTGCGAGCGTGGGAGCAGGAACAGGTAAAAGAAGCTTCTGTAGAAACTTTACAGATAAATGCCACCTCCCCCTTCTGTAAGATCACTCGCTGGGCTTTGTCACGCTGGTTTCATGGGCACCACATGAGCAGGATGAGCCAAGTCTGCCAAGAGATTTGTATTTTTAATGTTACCGAAATGCCCTGGGAGTGTACCTCGCCGCAGCCTCCAGCGCGCAGGCTGTAGCTGCTTCCCGTGCCCCAGCCCCGAGGAGCCCAAACAGGTGCTGCCGGCGTATTTTGACTCGAGTCCCATGATGGAGCGCCGGATCTGGCAAACTGGAGCTGAGCGGTTGCCGGTTCCTTCAATTAGGAAGGCTTCTTGACTTTTTGTTTAATCCCTGGCTTATTAATGGCGCTCGCCTCTTTGATCAAAGAATTGCACTGATTTCAATTAGGGTTGAGCAAGAGCCCAGTGACAGGAAAGGCTGTATCAGGAGGAGCAGCTGCTGTGCCCTGAAGGATTTCTTCACCCTCGTGACCAAAATCTATAGTCATAGGTGAAGCGTATTTATTCCCGACCAAGCTGGAGAAAACTCAGGTAATCCTTTGCTGGCAAAATAGCTCTGCAGAAATAAAAGCAGGCGGCACTGACTGCCCGGGGACCTCCCGTTCTTCCCATCTCGAGCACCGGGGAGGGACCAGGCCCTTCCTACAAAAGGGTGAAGCCAGAAGATACGCCTTGGCTTCGCTTTGGGACAACACTGTGGAGTGGGGTATTGGTGGGGTGAGTAGCTACACCTATGCCTGCCTGGGGTTTTTAATGTCTTCATTAACTCTAACCGTGCCTGTTGTCGTCTCCAAGGGGGGGACAGCTGCAGAAGATGACTGTCTAGGTGAAGAGTGACTTCAAGAGATTGGGACGATCAAATCACACAGAAAGTCGAGTTTCTAGAGTAATGAAAGCTGGGGTGGACCCTCAAGGGGAATAAGCGACACAAGTGTAATTTGGGGAGCTGGGAAAAAAAGAGGGGGGTGACGGATTTACTAAATATTTGCAAAGCTACAGTAACAAACTCAGAGCTGTGGTCTGAGCACACGCCTGTAGGTAACAGAAGACAAATACGATTATTTGAATACCACATTAATATATGTGGTGCACTTGATACGCTCTCCCAATTACACTACTCTGATAAAAACCAGGGACTATAAAAAGAAGCGGCAGGAGTTGCAACACAGGTGACCAAAGCAGCAGGAAAGGAGAGAGGAAGCCACCCCAGAACGAGATGCTGCAGTGGGGCGTCAGCCAGAGGTACAGGGGTGCATGGCTGCCTTTGGCCAACTTCACTGTGAACTTCTGCTTTGCAACCCAGCAGTGTTAGAAACAAACGAGGTGCGCGGCTGCATCGCTCGTCCAGTGTCCACAAAGCCTTTGAGATGTGTCTCCTCCTAAAGTGACCGACCTCTAGAGAGGTAGGCATGGGGGGGGACGTTGAAATGGCGTGCCGAGGGTGGGAGATGTGGTACTTGTGCTGGTAGTCCAGAAGCTGGTGGGATAGGAGTAAGAGGTGGTGCAAAATGCGGTGGGGGCATCCCCAGAGCATTTGCAGCCACCTGAGTAAATCGGAGTAGACGTGGTCTGTAGCGTTTTCTCAGCTGCCATCCTGCCCAGCGCCGCCAACAATCCAGCATCCAAGCTGCTCGCCAGGAAAGCAGCACATGGGTTTTTTTTGTATTTTTAAATCACTTCGTCCCTCTGCCTGACTCAGTTTTACTGTGCCACAGCCCCTGGTGGGGATGTCAGTCAAGTCACCAGTAGCAAAGACCTGAATGAGAAATGTGGTTTTCTCCACCAAAATTCCTTTTGAAAAAATGCTTTGTGAAATATTTTGCAGAAAGAGAGATGACTTTTTTTCTTCTTCTGCACCTGAGAACCAGTTGCTTTTCTTTTTAAACGAAAGCGGTTAAAATGCTCTTAAACCGGAATTTTTCTTTTGAATACAGAGGGGTTTTGCTGAAACGAGACGGAGCCGCCAGCTCGGGCTGGGAGCCCGGGGAAGGCTGAGAAGGGTCCTCAAGGCGCCCACAACCACTTTGCCTGCAGCACAGCGACCTCGGCAGGAGTTCCACTTGGAAATATTACTGGCTTTTTTTTTTTTGCTAGAAATGTTTGAATTTGTCTCTGGCATAGGAGTGTAATTTTTTAATCTCCAAATTTGAATCAGAATGTGATGAGATAATACGAGGTCTGTCTCGGCTATTTGCTTATCTGGGAAAAAGGCTCATCCCGTGAATCATTTGGACATCAAGTTAAAATGTCCACTCAAGTCTTGCATGAGTAAAGAAATGCGTTGCTCTTGCACGCTGCTTTGGGGCTGATTCCTCACAGGTGGCTTCTGCCCTCGCAGAGTGCGGTGGGGGCAGTGACCACCAGCAGCAACCTGCCTCCCAGAGAGGTGCCCTGTCACCAAAACGCTGGTGGTGGCTCTGGCTCACTGTCCCCACAGCAAGCCTGCCCTTGTCCCCAGCTTGCCGGACCAGCCACCGGGGGACACCCGCCGTCACCTACCTCTGCTGAGCGGGGCTGGGTGGGAGAAGGCACTCGGCATCTTCCGCCTTCGCCTCCCACAGACCAAAGAAGGGCAGATGCCAAATAAAAGTCTTAAAAGCCAAGCAAGATGTCACCGTCCTGCAGCACGCGTGGCAATGGCCGAGGCGCCCCTGCCAAAGCCCTTCCCCGGGTGTGCTGTGGGCAGCAGCTCACAGCTCTCTGCCGAGATGGAGATGAGGCTTTGCGTATCGGAGGAGAGGAGCCCAGTGAGGAGAGCAGGTGACTTCGCACACAAGAAGGTTGTGGCACAGCTGGGAACAGGAGCCAAGTCTTAATGATGCTAATGTGCCTTAATCACAAGAATGTTTTTGTTTTTTTCCTTATCATTCAAAGTGACTTGTACTACAGAACCCTCCCCCGCATCTTTTATTAACCGCCCCTTTTTATCATCCAACATGTTCATTTGCCCCTAAATTTGGGAAGACCGGGCTAGCCCTCCGGGTGACTGAAATGGTGCAACCTCTCAGTTTCCCTCTCCCACTCATGACAATGAGGAAAAATACTGAGCAAGGATTTTTCCCTACCACATGTTCTGCTGCTGGCACTGCGAACCAGACCATTGAGAAGGGCTTTGGGCTGTGCCTCGTCATTCATGTGACTGCTGACTGAATATAAAACACAAAAGGTTACCTGCTCCCCGCAGATAACATCAACTATTGCACATTTTTAGTCGCCGCCGAAAACAGCAGCTGCTTTCATTGGACCAGCGCTGGAGAAGAGACACCGACCCAGGTCTTGCAATATTTTCCTCAGCAGGTGTGTTGTTGTGATGAACTGCGGAGTTTCGCATAGGTGTCCTCCAGCTTGGTATAAATATTCAGCTGTCTGATCGAGGGAAAAGGGTTCTTAAAATTCCGGGGCTTACATAGACAGTTGTTTCACTGTATGCACTTTAAAAGCTTTAGCTGTCTGCCTGCTTATCCAAAGCTTGAAATTAAAAATGAAATGATGTGTGCTCGCACGGGGGA